TTTATTTGGATAAAACCGAATGCGTAACTTATTACTAATACTATTATTATTTACATTTACGTGTTTCGCCCTATGGCACTACACGGAAGGGAGGGATGCCGTTATGGAGGACTTTCTAAGGGAAACTGACTCGTATTAAGACGTTACACATGAGAAAAACCACGAAAACGCACATGCAGCCGAACCTCAGAGCGAACTACCAGTGTTCAGGGACTTTACCGCTCGGCCGCTGGTGGGCAACTTACTACTATTCAGTCAAAATTAAATTAAGACAAATTTTAACGACTTAAAGTAATAAAATAGAAAAATAAACAATAAAATACATAGTATTGAAACTCTACAATCTACTTTTTTGTTAGTTTTTTTTTTAAGTATGAGCACTTATTATAGATAAGCATGGTTCACTGAAAGGCAAATATTATATGAAGCAAGACAACGATCGATAGGCCTGTGCATAACATGCAGCTGCCTTTTTCAATAACATTTATCAGCAACAAAATTATCGAACATTACACATTCATGTAAATTAATTTACTAGTTTTTCGAAAAATATGTTCTGCGTTATCTTATCTTACATAATTTACTTTTCAAACTGGAAGAGAAACACGCCAATATAAAATTTTAAATTAGGCAAAACAACAGTGTTAGAAGAACTTGTGTCTAATCGCCCTCAAAATCGGTAGTTTTATTCAAAATCCACCTAATTTTAAACACGTAAATATAACAGTAACAAGCTTAATTTTACTTTAAAGAACAAATTATCTGGATAACTGGAGTTCAGGATATCTTGCCTGCAGATTATTGGTGCTTCTCTTATACTATGATACAGACCTGAGGAATGTAAAATTATGTCTAAGAATACGAAATACTTAATAATTAAAAACATTAAACTACGATTCACGATGTTTCGATAACATGAAACCTTAAAAAATCAGTTGCATAAAATGTCAGACAAATATTTAGCCATAAAAATATCGTCTCTTAATATTCTGGGCCTTTAAATCCCGGGTAATCAATATACATGGAAAGGAATAATTTTTTCCGTTTGTGACGTCCCAAAATTGCTTTCATATGCTGTAGGGGATCTGCAGATTCCGGGTCACCAACCCAGTCAGGAGCATTCCTTCCCTGGGGGTTGAATCTATGGGTGTTAACAACGCAATTTATACGTTTAGGAATGCCTAAAACAGTCATTACGTCAACGGGATTTTTAAAAATAATTTTTTGTCCTCAGCGTGCCAGGCTTTTAAGCTCCGCCTGAGGCGGCTATATATCAACATGTTTTACTTCCAAATTTTAGTATATCTTCTGTTATAGAAATATTTTAATTATTTTTTGTCTTCAGGCAATAAAGAGAAAGCGCTTAAGAGCATTTTAAAATAATTTGCCTATAAATTTTAATTTAACGTACCTTAAATCGTTTAATTAACATTTTATTATTGTATTTGTTTCATTACGAATCTTTTTTGATAATTTTTTGGTGTTCGAATAATATGATGGCTAACTTCTGTGAAAAGAAAGCCCGAGTCTGTAAGCGTAACATTTAATGTAATAATACTATGCATTTTGTTAATGTTGCTAAGGGCATTTTAATTGCCGAAAACTGTATATTATACAGAAGAATATGTCATATGAATGCTTCATAATATCGCTTCGGATTATAACTCACTTATAAAATTCACGCATTGTTTCGGCTATATAAGATTTTACTTCTCATTTAGAAAAATCCGCTTAAAACTGAAATATGCTTGACGGCACAGAATGTAAATGATGTAAATAATGAAGCATTTTCCCCCCTAAAGATACTTCATAAATTTAGAGAGCCCACCATCTGCTGAGTGGTAAAGTCGCTGAACACTGGTAGTTCTGTCCGTGGTTTGAATCTCGGAAAACGGCTGGCTGCATGGGCGTTTTCTTGGTTTTCGCCATGTGTAGTGTGTATACAAATCAGTTTTCCTTAAAAAATCCTCCATAAAGGCATCTCTTCCCTTAGGTAGTTAGGTAGGCCTCGAGTGCTGTGCCATAATTAAATAAACCAAACAAAAACCATGAAGTTAGAGTGTCGGTTATTTGAATACAATAATTAACTGGTTTTGCGCTATATTTTGTGGAAGCTAGCGTTATTAATACACTTGTATGCAAAATTAAGAGAATTTTCCCATTTTGTGTAATTTCTGAAAAACTAATGGACAGGTTTTAATGAAAATTGGTATGAATATACAGTTATAACAGAGGAAGAAATGTACCATTCAAAATTCATTTTATGCGAGCACGATTATCAGTAAAGATGATAATGCAGGGATGTTATTCCAAAATCCACGTTGTGATATTGAACTGAAAATGAGTCTAACATGGAATATGATCCCTTTCCACAGTTAGATATGTCGCGCACCGTGATGGCATACTGGACAGGAGGCAGGTCAGGAACAGTCAGTTTCACTCCTGGAGCTAGGCAGTTTTCAACTGTCAGAAACACGCGAACGTCATGAAGGAGTACGAGCACACTAATCGCCGATCTTGTACATCTTGACTTCATAAGTGATCCTCTACCACTGTTAGCCTTTACTACTAATGTTTATCTAGACTCGACGGTGTCCAGACTAGGGCATTAGTCTCTTGGACCGCTTATTTTGCGAACTTTCAAATCCAGTAGATGGAAAAATTTATACACAATCAGTATTGACAACTCATGGCAACATTTCTTTGACTAATTTGAATGACATTTCAGTTAGCAATTATATAGCATGTATGAGCATAAATATTGAATACAGTTGGGAGAAAGGAAATAAAATATTTACATGTTTCTGTCAGTATATTTACCGTTTGCCTTGAAGTGAAGTTTACAATATTTAAAGCTGATTGGCCGGGTGAAGCTCTTTACCTGGTGAACATCAAAGTCCATTTCTGCTCTGCCAGTTAAAATAAATAGTAACAACATACTGAGAAATAATAAAACACTAAAAAGTAATAAAATATGTGCAAGTGTGAATATAGTTATACATGCTAACGTTTCTCAAGCATCTTGGATTGCTTCTATGTCGATACTTAATTTATTAGTAATGTCCTGAGTATTTTTGTATTTGAGGTAAATTTGATATATGTTTTTTATAAAAAATTGTAAAATCTTCTATCCCGTTGTCTTCGTCTTTTGATTGTTCATGAACTTTTTGAGTTTGCTTAGTTATAGTTTGAAGGTTCTTTTTTTCTTAGCCCCTACCTCGGCGTATGATTGGTTGTTTGGATTGTTTCCTGATTGGTAAGCTTTTTGATTTTCTTCTTGACTCCCACCATTTGGGATAATTTGGGTTTCTTCCTGTTTCTTAAAGTTGGTTTGGTTTTCTGCTGTTTTTGAACATTTTTTATCGCAGGCTGCGTGCAGGCCTTTACACAGTGTGCAGGTGCACTCTACTGTAATGTCCTTATTATTGTTAACTGGGTGTTAACAATAATAAGGTCTATTTTCGGCCAGACAGCGAACAGATGTGGGAGTGTTGTGGCAGGCACGTTGGGTATGACCATACCTTTGGCTGTGAAAACACTGCGTCGGGCCTGGTCTACCTCTATGAGCTCTAACGTTAATTCTTATGTCAAGTATATATTTTATGCTTTAGATCTTTTTCCCCTTCTTCCGTTCATGGGGTTTCAGTATAAAAAGTGGGTAAAAGTATCGCAACTCCTTCCCTCATTCTGTGGGCTGCTTGCATTTTAATACAGCAAGTAGTCTTTTGTGTTTCCATTTCTTCTTCGGTTTCTTCGACGGTTCATTTCTTCTTCGGTTTCTTCTACGGTTATGTCTACTGTGAGATCTTTTTCACTGTACATACACTTTTATCGGGATGCGGAAGAGTTGTATGAAACGGAATTTTTTCCGCTTCTAATTTTTCCTGTATCTTTCGGTAGTCATCAGTGTTAAAGAGCTTGATTTTTAAATTTTCAAATTTCAAGACATTTTCTATTTCTTTGCTAAGCGCTTTCCAATTAATGTTGGTCTGGACTATTACAAGTAGCAAGAATTTCCCGGCTAGACTTTTAGGATGTACAGATGGTGCATTATTGTTGTCTGGCTCTTGATCTCCCTCCATATTATTGTCATCAAGGTTTTGTTCATTTTGGTAAACTTTGAATTTAGTGTTTGATTGCATGGGAGGAAGGTTCTCCTCTGAGTTATTCCTTTTCCTTAATCGTTTTTTGCGTGGAGCCTCCTGTAAACGTAGCGGTGTTTTCTGGTGTAGGATAGTAGCGTTCCGTAATTTCTGCAAATTGAGCTCAAAAATTTTCTGTATTGGGTCCTGTAAGAAAACGTTCAATTTCGTTATGTTCGCGTTCTAACGAGTGTAGTATTCTTTCCTGTTTCGCATTTGGATTATATGCATTTCTTGAAGCACGAATATTTGCAGTGTCACGTTTAAGTTCTAGAGCTCGCATTACATTCCAATACAAAGCATCCGCGAGGAGGATCATCCATGCCTATTGCTGGAGACATTTCGCAGGATGCCCTAATAATGCCCCTCCTATAATGTCCATTTTTAACTTAAACAATAATAAGATAATTATGCAATTAATAAATAAGAAGGCAAGCGTTTGTTTTCATTAATTAAGTTGCTAATTAGAAGCTTTTGTAAATACAATTCAGTCTTGTGTTTTTATTATTTTTAAGTGTTATTTAGTCTACTATTCAAATAACTTACCTTGGAAATGGAAAGCATGATAAATACCCATTTGTAGAAAAAAGAAGTTTGTGTGTGTTAGTACTTCTCTTGATAAGTCATGACTTCCTCTCTAGATTATACTTTTTTTAAACAGATGCCTGTAATACTCAGTGAGTAAAGCAAATTTACGATCGTTTCTTCTATTCGAATCCATTGTTGTTTCTCTGCGCAATTCAGTCGAATGCGAGATTTCAATTTTATTATGACGTCACTAGAAAGAATGGCGAATACCTGAAACGGTGATGTAAAAGCTTAGGCATATAACTATAATGAATAAAGCATGACCACTAGCTATATTCTTTCGTGATTTAGTTTTGTGTTCGAGGACACAGGAAAAGCTGCTTGTAGTGAAAGGCAATTCTGTGAAGTAATTTTATTTGGGAGATTCTATCCAACTCCTACAGTACAGAAATTTTGCTTCGATATTTTTGCAAGTGTAAGTTTTTAAATTTATATTTCAACTATTAAGTTCGTACATAAAAAAAATCGTTTAATATTTATTTATATTCAGTATTATCTTTCAAGCAAAGAGAAAAAGTAACATTATATATTTTTATTTTTAAGACAGTTAAAATTGTATTTGAATCAAATTTTTAAAATCATTCAAATACGAGAGGAAGCTGTTCAAACTGCTTATCAGCTTGGAGCAATAATATTTCTTTCGTTAGATACTAGTTTCTCAATGAAAAGTTTTAATCATTTCCGGTGTAAATTACGAAACCAATAGAAATAATGGTCTGATATCTATGTTAACTGAATATAGATACTATCTGGAAAGACTACTTTCTAATCGGGATAATGGAAGTGACTTTGATTTCCGTACCAAAGGGCCCAGGTTTGAATCCCGGAGAGGGCATGTATGTTTGTAAATGTGTAGTGTCTGTGAGGCACGGGGGCACTCAAAATATGCGGCGAGACGAAAGTACTCTCGAGGGATTGACGGTAGGGTAAGAGGGCTGGGAGACCCTCGGACCCGTCCCCCCCCCGGGATGCTGTCCTTCAGAATTTGAGGTGGAAATGAGGAAAGTCGTTATTGTCACCTATATGGTGACCAAGTCTCTTACTAAGAACAGGTGAAATCTTGCCTCCTTGCCACAATGAATTCCGTGGGCTTCATTTGATTTCAGGGAAGAGAGATTAGTCACAACAACAACAGACTAAATGCATTTAGATAGAAATGTAACTTTGTGAGAGACATGCAAGTCTTAAACTTTATTTATCAAAAATATCGTCCTTCATTATTGCAAACGCTCATAATATACTGAATAATATGAAGCTTAACGAAAGATAAAACCTAAACCAAGTTTAAAAATTAACTTTCAGCTGCAAGTTATCCTACTAGATGCGTTTATGGAAAGCACTGTGCATTCTAACAAAGTACAAAATTTGTAAAGTACGAACCATTTTTGTATATGAAAAATAAAACGCGACGTACATTTTATATGTCACACTGGATATTCTGTATGTTTAATGATAGTAATGATTTTTTTACCGTTAGGTTTGTGCATCAGTAGTTCTTAGTAGTAGGTTGACATATTAAAATGCAGTTTTATGATACAAAAATACCAAATAATGTCAAGTTATAGTATGTTACATAGTTTACTAAATGCATTTCAATCAGAGTGTAAATACAGCTACGTGAAGTTTATCTTTTTTATCTTTATACCGAAAAAAAGAAAGAAAGGAAGGAGTTATTTAGATTATGCTAATCATGTCAAAGGAAACATGAAATTGTTGAAATGAATATATGATACATTATGTCAGAAAGCTCAGTTCTTTTTGTACTTAACATCTAGTAGGACTTTATTGTCAAAATTAATCATAGTGTTATTATTATTCTTATCAACCCGATAGATGCTTTCAATTCTAAAATGCCACTTTATAAAAAGGTAGATCAATATACGAACACTAAAAAGTGACCATTAATATGTTACTGTTATTTACCTGTTACTTATTTTAACTTCATCCGTAAAAATAATTAAAGATGGCCAAATTTTATTATTCTAACTCTGTAAAATGATTTTTATAGTTTTTCTAACAATCAAATTTTTCTGTATATATCTATCAGCAAAGGCTAGATTTTGAATATATAAAAGTTTGGCTGATAAAACAGATAATAAAGTTCTGATATGCATATTTATTTATTTTTTAGGGGAAAAGCTGTGGTGTTGACGTCTATGTATCGAGTTTTAACTCTCAATCCATGTTCACTGGTGCTTGACAATCGGCCCAGCTATTAAACTCGACGAAATCGGAAGCCATTTTCCCGCAAGTCATTCTGACAGATAAATTCTCCTTTTCTCAGTCTTCACAGTAGCGGACTGAAGAAGAAATAACTACTAAAAACTACCCCTCAATTTTCCGCATGAAACCTCATTTAATGTAACAGGAAATTGATATACCAAGGCCAAGAAAAAAGTACTTGAAATTTTGGATTGAAATAATTTGATTTATTGCATCCTATTTTCAAATGACATATTACTACCAAGGTTACGCAAAAATGTCGTGAAATTATATAGCTCCAGTCACCCATTACGGCACTGAAGGAATACTGAACAAGAAAAAGAAATCCCAGAGGCAGAGAATTTAGCTTTAGCAACCCAGATTTGCGAAGTGTTACCTCCTTTACAAGATGAATGCGAAAATTGTTGCATGTATTTTTGCTCTTTTGGAAACTCTAATGCTTGCAGGTCAGATTACAACATTGGTTAGTACATACTGGACCTCGTGGGATTTACGTTTCAACTGGACAGAAGGAGGAGATTCTGCAAGAGGATCATACCGTGAAGGTAAGGTAAAAAAAGTCAGTGATCAAATACACGCTTAAGTTAATAACCTTCAATTATTTTGTCGAGATATCATGAGTACGGCTTTATATGTCCAATATAGGCCTTATATGTCCAATATAGTTTGTAAATTTTGTCGGTTTTAAACGATTGATATTTTTATAAATCTAGTTGACAAACAGCTTAAGGAATCTAAATCCAAATTTTAGCACACAGTAGGCCAGAAAGATTATGCTGATCTCTTTGCTCTTCTTACGATTTTTTTCCCACATGCTATTTCGAGAAGGTATAAAAGTTGGACATTAGGTTAATAAGAGAGACTCTTCTTTTCATACTACACCAATACAGGTTTCAAAATGCCCCTTTCTTCTGATGCCAACTTTCAACGTGCTTCGGAAGGAAGCAATGTTGAATGTAACTAACTTCAACTAAGCTATATATAATAAAGTATACAATAAAGTAAAGGGTGGTCATTAAAAAAAACTTTTCCCATATAATAAACCCATAGTGGCCTGCCGGCTCAACCAATCGAAATGAAATTTCGGTTAAATGTGGAACAGCAGTCAGAGACTACGCAATTAAATATTAGTGTAAGCTAACTCAATAACTCTACCGGAGCATCAAAACCAAAGTGTCGGCAGCGATAGAACGTAAAGCCGAGCAATAACAACTATCAGAGCTGGCAGGAAACTAACACGTAGCGCACGTGAAGTCAGAAACGCACTCAGTCTTAAAATTCAAAAAGCTCAGTTTTAATACTGGCTACTCATTTCCATTCTGGTGAGGAATACGGAAAGAAGAAGGCCGAAGTCATACAAGCTGGTTAATTTAAATAATAACCTTATAATTTCATAAGTGTTGTATTATTATTCACAATTAAACATTGCTTAGCTCGAAAAACAAGCGTAAATGCTTTGTTTAAATTTCCTTTCTTTTGCTTCAAAGAAGGAAAAATAGTTCTCCATTATCATAAAATGAATAAATATAATCGACTTCGCTATTGTCACGTGAAGTAAATGAATCAAGTAACTGCCTTGTTACTTTAAAATTATACTAGTAGCATATCTCGCATGAGGTCTAACTTGGTATTAGAAAGTTTTGCACAGAGGATTAAAACTTAGAAATCTATACATAATTTTTCACGAGCGCAATTCTGCCTGATTCTCATTGGTAATGATTGAAAGTTAGCAGCGCCCTGGGAATAAGAGTTATGCCAAATAAAAATATGAAGAATTTGTTTTCATTTAATGGAAATCGGATTAATTAACAGGAGAGTTTTATGAGATACCGCAACTGGTAACTTTATCTCTAAAGCCACAAAGCTTTTTAGTTTACATGATAATTTCATGCGTGATTCAAATTCAGTGCATGCGTTTAAAAATTAGACAAAACACCAGCCCTACATGTGTATATATAATAGCTAAGAAGAAAATCCTGGAAAACTCACACAGTCAGATATTTTTAAGTCACCGAGAATGGAACTTAGCCGAAGGATCATTGTTTGTGGCTTTAGCCTTTCAAATACCGATCACTCTAAAGAAAAGAGATCCAAGCCCTGTCTGCATGCATCATTTCTTGAACAGTAATACTTTTTTTTTTTTTTTTTGTTGAAATTTGATAACTTTATGAATGAACTTAAGTTTAATATGGAGTTTACAAAAAAGGTTAGTTTATAAAAAGAAGAGGGGCATTTTTCAATTTCTCGCGTCATATGCACAGAAAGTTTCCTTAAAATTAATGCCACACTCAGGTAGAATTTTAGATAAATTTAAAGCTGATGTTTTTCATTCATTACATTTGCTAGTTGCTGATGCATTTTAAAATTTTCCTATTATTCTTGAGAAAGATTATTTTGGTAAGATGTTCTAAGACCAATATTTAGTACGAATTCAGATGCAAATTTTAAGCGAATTTTTTTTTTTTTCCGAAATTTCAGGTGCATTAACAATTTTATCTTAATAAATCTTAATAACATATTAAATTTTAATGTATGCGCATAAAAAGGTCTGCTGTCTTTGAATTAAAGTCTGTTTTTAAATAGAAATATATTGTACTGATGGCAGTGGTAGTGCTTGCGGTGCGGCGCGAGCTGAGCATCTTCTACGAATTACAAACTTAGGTTGTTTAGGATAGTTAATAGGAAGGAAAACTTGTTGGTAAATATCTGGTCCCCCCTATTTGTACCTGGCTATATTTTAGGACAAAGAAACCACACATAACAGAAACAATTATTCATCTCTTAACTATTATGCACCTTGCATTTAGTGCAATGAAATCATGAACTGAATATAGCTTTGTTGCAAATTAATGTTCAATGGGGAATGCTAAAATGAAACACATGGGAACCTAAGCGAAATTTTAGCTTTATAATGCTCTCTTATGAGATCTTTTAACCAACGTAAACAAAGAAAGAATATGAAATTAGTGGATTTTAAAAAAATGTGCGATATGAAGGGAGATGGATGTTTGAATGAATTTTTAGAGCTTCTAAAAATAGTATTATATTTAAAAAAATTATCTACAGAGGATAAAGATGAGAAAAATAAATATTTTAGAAATTTGACGTAAAATAAAATTCAGGGTGCTAAAATAATTAAAACGGATAATAACTGTTCGGTTAATCGAAAAGCAACTTTTATACATCTGTTACGCTTACTACGAGGTACAATTTAAATTGAAAATCGATATAATCAAATAAAAAGTAATTAATCGGAGAATATGCAAAACATGATTTCCCTTAGAGATCTAAACTATTCTTCTAACTGATAATTAGTTAAACTAAATTTCCAAATGCTAAATTTTCAAGATAACGAGAAGGAAAGAGAAAGGTATGGGACCTCTAAAAATTATGAATATTGATTATATTCTCTACGATCCTATGCGACGTGAACTAAAAGGATAAAAAAAATAAGATGTTCTTCTTCCATCCCCCCTTCAGTTCGAATTCTCTAGCCGCAGAGGATTTGTGCTGTGGTTGCTTGCATTTCAAATTTTATAACTAAGAGCAACGCCGTTAAGCTTTACATGAAATTTTTGCTAATCGGTGGAAATTATGCCAAATCTGAAATTATTTCTCTGATTTACGCCAAACTTTAACAACTATTTTTGATTTAAAAATAGAAAACCTAATCTTTATGTATCCAAAATTTTCAAAATTGCTAATTTTTTGACAGTCGGCCACATGGGGGAGGTGGTTGTCGGGCGCCCATCGCATCCTCCTGGCTACGAGCCTGTAACTTCTGCTGTTACCTTTCCATTGTTTTCTGTTAAAGTCATGCTTGCATTCTAGAGAATTCCAAGCAGATATATTTTGAGTTTATTATTAAGACTCTATTAATATTCCTCTGAAATTCAAAGAGGTGCTAGAAAAATTCATGAAATCGAATTATGAAACTTTACTTGATTAATGCAAAGTACACGAGGGCTATCCGCCCCCCTAAGGGGAGGGATTCCTTGGTGGAAGATTTTTTTTCTCGCTCAAAACCCCGCTACACATGGAAAAACCACGTAAACACCCATGCAGCCAGCTTGTTTGCTGCAAACGAACCGCCAATGTTCAATAACTTTCACTGCTTGGCCGCTGGGGGGGGGGTTGAAAAACGAGACTTTATGTTTAAAACTTTAGAAAAATATAAATAGTGTGCAAATTGAAGGACAGATCCTTGAGATTTAAACATAGAAAGGTGGAAAAGAGGTAAATTATTTACTTCAAAATGACAATAATAAGTATCAAGCTTTTCAGGAATTTGTGAAAGTCACAGTTCGAATTTCTAAGCTACTTTGGGAAGAAACCGAAAAAATTTAATTATTTCTAACAAATTAATGATTAATCTAGAAGTCAAACTAAAAACATCAGCGTTATATTTGCAAATATAACGCTGATATTTGTTGTTTGACTTCTAAATTAATATTTATTCGACGTGTTATTTTACTTTAAATTAATAATTAGTTACAATTATTTCCTAATGTACCTTGCTTTAATAACATTCGAAGAAACCATACTGGGATACACTAGAAGTGTGATTATGTAAAAGCAATACCAAGAAAACTTAAACATTTAATGTTAATTAACTTCAAATTTAAATGAATATTATGCAGTTATAGTGAAATTACTTATAGGTGCTTTGCCTCACTTTTCATTTCAGATGTTCGCAAAAACTAAAATGTCGACTTAAGTACTTAAAAGACTTATGGCGCCCAACAGTGGCGATACCTCATCAGAAGCTAAGTGATTATAGCCGCTGAATGCTTTGATTTCTGGCCAACTAATTTCTTTGAAAGCTTTAGAACCTCTTCCCACGCTTCTATTAGAAGCCTGTGCGACTATGACCCTACTGTTGAATATGTGGTCAAAAGACCCCGCACCATACATCACAACCCGTCTTGGTAGTTGTATTTATGTAAATAGTTTTCAGTTTTTTTCTATGTTTTATAATTACGACTTTTGTTATTTTTGAATGCAACTTTTGCCACCACGACCAGGAATGCCAGTCCCAAGCTCTGAAAGTTTTTTACGCCTCCGGGTGACCAGATGTACCTGAAGTACATCTCTTTTATTTTACAACCGTGATTGGCTTTTGGCAACTCTGAACTTTTGGTAATAACTCTGTGTAGTTGAAACCAAGTGCGAGCGAAAGCAATTGGAATTGGAGTTCTGGCCAACCAGCGACTGAGCGGCAAAGTCGTTGAACACTGGTAGCTCGGACTGGGCTTCAAATTCCGGCGAACGGGCTGGCTGCATGGGCGTTTCTGTGGCTTTTCTCAAATGTAATGTGTATATAACTCAGTTTCCTTTAAAACGTCCTTCACGGAGACATCTCTCCCCTTAGGTAGATAGTTCTCGTGTGTTTTGCCATAATCAAATAAACGAAAAAGAATTTAAAGACTTAGCTCAATTACTAAATTTTCATTTCAACCAGGGAAAGAAAACGAAACCTGAAATATGAAAATCATATTATAGTAGCTAAAAAAAGGGATAAATTATTCACTGCTTCCTTTTCCTC